CTCGACTAATTTGCCGCACAATAGGTCCTCCAACCACACATAGATACCCACACACACAATACTATAGCCATATGTATTCTAATATATCCGCATCCGCACACTATCCCTGTATATCCCATCTCCCGTGCTCATCCCTACTAGCTGACACGGTCTCACCGACTCTTATCCACAGCTCACTACCACCCGGCAACGTATTCTCGACTACTTTGCCGCACAACACGACATTGTGCGGGAGGATCATCTGATCTTTCAATTTGAGTTCAGTATGGCTCTGGGTAACGAGAAGAAGCTGTTGCAGCAACTGTGTTGGGAGATCGGCTTCAAGCCAGACAGGATTGCCCAATACGTCTCAGGCGAACAGGTGGGTCTTAGTACTAAAGGATGACGTGTACAAGTAACAGCCCTGGTGTGTCTGGGGAAGGTGTACTGTATGTTAGTACTAAGGGATGACGAGTACCAGTAACAGCCCTGGTGTGTCTGGGGAAGTATTGATTGCAGATGGTTCGCTTCGTATAGTGTGATTGTTGAGGTGTACTGTAAGTTAGTACTAAGTGATGACGGCTACCAGAATAGCCCTGGTGTGTCTGGGGAAGTATTGATTGCAGATGGTTTGCTTCGTATAGTGTGATTGTTGAGGTGTACTGTAAGTTAGTACTAAGGGATGACGGGTACCAGTATCACCCCTACTGACTCATAGGATGACTCATCTCTCGGTCTCTTCCCCTGTATTCCCACTGTGATAGCCTACGTGAGATCGGATTAACATAGACTCACATCCATTTGCCCCACCCCTCCGTCTCACAGCGCGAGATGCTGTTGAATTTCCCAGAGATGGAGTACTATCGAGACATTGTCTTTATGTTTAAGTTCATGATGACCCCCACATCGAGTGCTCTGCCGCCCATTCGACCGTACAACCAGAACCACGCAGATCTCACATGGCGCTGGAAGGGTGATAAAGAACCCGTGTGGGAGGTTAAGGCGTTTGAGCAGGTGTGTACGCGTGATATTTGAATACGTATATGTAGATGTGTGTTTGTATACGTATACGTAGATGTGTATTTGTATACATGTGTGTAGATGTGTTTTTGTATACGTATATGTAGATGTGTATTTGTATAGGTATATGTAGATGTGTATTTGGATACTTGTGTGTAGATGTGTATTTGTATACGTATATGTAGATGTGTATTTGTATACGTATATGTAGATGTGTATTTGTATACGTATATGTAGATGTGTATTTGTATACCTGTGTGTAGATGTGTATATGTATACGTATATGTAGATGTGTTTTTGTATACGTATGTGTAGATGTGTATTTGTATAGGAATATGTAGATGTGTATTTGGATACTTGTGTGTAGATGTGTATTTGTATACGTATTTGTAGATGTGTATTTGTATACGTATATTTAGATGTGCATTTGTATACGTATGTGTAGATGTGTGTTTGTGTGTTTGTATACGTATATGTAGATGTGTATTTGTATACGTATATGTAGATGTGTATTTTTATACTTGTGTGTAGATGTGTATTTGTATACGTATATGTAGATGTGTGTTTGTACGTATTTGTAGATGTGTATTTGTATACTTGTGTGTAGATGTGTATTTGTATACGTATATGTGATGTGTATTTGTATACGCATGTGTAGATGTTTGTTTGTATACGTATATATAGATGTGTATTTGTATACGTATATGTAGATTTGTATTTGTATACGTATATGTAGATGTGTATTTGTATGTATATGTGCAGATTGTTGTACTATAAATATGTAACTGCTTATATTGTGTCGGTATATATATACACTTTTTTTGTATACAATTATGTATACGTATATTGGCATAGATATATGCATATGCATATATGTAAATTTTGTTGTACTGTGGAAACGTGCTTGCTTATATAGTGCCGGTATGTATATACACTTTATATTTGCACACATATAATTGTACTATGAAGATATACTTGCTTGTCGTGCTGTGTGGCTCTGCGTGCATATACTTGTTTGGTATTTACGTATCGTGACTGGCGAGAACACATAAATTGATGCACTGAACTCGCACAGACTAGATCAATAGCAACGATCCCGTATGGGAAGTATGGTCATGTTTTTATATTTGTATGTGTATATGTACGTGTATATGCATGAGTATATGTACTGGTTTATGTACGTGAATATGTATGTATATATATACGTGTATACGCACGTGCATATGCATTTGTATATATACGTGTATATGCATGTGTATATGTGCGTGTAGATGTACGTGTCCGTCATCTTTATTATGCGTGGTTATATTTGTGAACATAGTAGGTAAGATACTTGGAGCGGGTGTGATAGTAAGGCTATGTACCTGCATGGTGCGGCGGGGTGCTCTGTTCGTGTAGGTATTTGCAAGTATAGTGAGTGCTTGCAGGAACAGCATGTCCTGTGAAGCATCCAACTCAGACGAGACTGAAGGGTCCCAGCGATTCAGTGTGAGGGACTTCCCTTAACACGCACAGAGAGAAGTATGACGAGGACTTATCTACACCTGTAGCAAGTATAGGGAGGACTTATTTGCACCCGTAACAAGTATAGGGACGACTTATTTGCACCTGTATACTATGTATGCATACGTGCTCGTGTATATATATATTATCTCCAAGGAGCAGCTCCGTACTGTTTCACGCTTACGCATACGTGTAAGACTCACCTCCCTGAACAATCTCTGCCAATCCTTTCACTGTCAGGTTCTGCTATGTACACCCCCTACCACGGACAAAGAGAAGGATAAGAAAGGTCTATGGGCACGTCTGATGAAGAGCATGTCCAAAGATCTGCGGGCAGGCCCGAGTGGTGCCGATCCTACCAGTCTACTCAACGCCACGGTGGAGGGAGAGGAGGATGTGCTGCATGTCAAGGTATAGTATTCAGTGTTGTTTATGGTATATGTATCTATATATATATATATATATATACGACAACACACAACAACACGACGA